GTTGTTGTTGTTGTTGTTTTCTCTTGTTGTGCTGCTCGGTGTCGGTTTGCTTTTCCTCTTCTTAGTCTACCCCCCCTTTTTAGCTCGCAGTGCATTCAGGCTGGATTTAATTGTTATAATTGCAGTGCTTCAGGAGTTTTCATCAGCCTGCTTTAATATGACACTCTAACTCCGCTGTAGTAAGCTTAACCAAGTCTGACCTGACTAGGAGCAACTCTTCAACTGCGTCAGAGATTTAACAGTAAAAGTTAACCGTCCTCGTCCCGTGGTCAAACACTGTCTAAATAGTGAATAAATGGAATAAAGAGCTGTAAGAAATAGAAGATGTCTTCAGAATGTCTAATGGGCTGGATGTATTATTAATGCCTCGACCAGAAATCAGCCCAAGAATACTGTAATTAGGAGTTATTTTTCTAAAGCAGGCAATGGAAAATATTCCAAACATGTGCAACAAAAGGAAAAAGTCTACACGGATGCCTTGTTTGGTTTACATTGTAATTGTTGTGAAGTTAAGCGAGCCAATTAGGCCGTGATTATTTTAGTGTAGTGGAGTTGCCCTGAGGATCAAGTTCATCCGCAGAGTTTCAGAGCTCGGAACAAAAGCAGGAAAGTTGAGCTTGAAATTAGAATCCATCTCTTTGTTGTTATTTTGGACGCGTTAATGATGTAGTTCTAAATGTTTACAGCAATTATTATGGCTGGCACACAGTAATTGGATGCCTGTGTCTATTTTGATTATTTGCCTATTTGTTTTGGGGCAACGATTTTAAAGCTTTGTACAAAAGGTAGTTTGAGAAAGAGTTGAGAGATTCATGTAATATAATACAGTTAGTCTGTTCATCAGTTTGACGGATTTACACTGAAAATTGTTCAGTTGTGATATTCTGTTGATTGATTGAGTAGGGCTGGGTATTGTTCCTAAAATTTGGGCTGAACTATGTCCATAGTTTCTGCAAAAAAATTTGTTTTCTTGGGGGCCCGGTTAGCTCAGTGTGTAGAGCTGGCGACCCATGTACTGAGGCTGAGTCCTTGCTGCAGCGGCCCAAGGTTGTGAATCGACCTGCGGCCCTTTGCTGGCGTGTCATCGCCTCTCTCTCCTGCCCCCCTTTCCTGTCTTCTTCCAGCTTGTCCAACTATAATAAAGGCAATAAAAGCCCCAAATAAATATACTTTAAATTTTTTTTTTTTTTCTTATGTTCATATTTCTTAAAATGTTGGACCTTGCCTTTCTGACTTGTATCTGTGCATAGTTTGTCACTAGTCGACCCTAGTATTTATTTTTTTGATGCAGGAAAAACAACAAAATTTTAATCAAAGCAGTTTGTATGTTTACATACTTAAAAACGTGTAACTTTAAGGTAACATTAAACCCTGATGCATTTTTGGTTAAATGTGAACAATTATTTTTTTGTGGAAAGCATGCTTGCACTGAACAAAGTAACGTAGAATCCTTTAAACTAAATGACAAAATACATTGTTTGCAAGCTTTCAAAATAACCCATATGAGCATTTTCTGATCCGACACCTCTATCAGCAGGGCAACATCATTTGTCAGTGCGTTTAAAAACTGTTACACATGACAAAAAGATGCATTTGTGTTTTCTGATCATGTTTAACGTTTGGTTGGATTTAGACACAAAAGACCACTTGGTTAAGATGAGAGAATGATTGTCTTTTAGTGATTGTTGTCATCATAATTTAAAGAAGTAAGCAGTAGGCAAATCATGGTCTCCTCTGTTCCAGCAGTTAGAGTTAGAGATTTCCTGAGCCAATCATAAAGATCATTATCATTGCTGATCTGGACATATTTTAATGGATTATTAGAGGTGTAAGAAAATATCGAAACACTTGAGTATCGTGTTTGTTTTGCAATATTGCATTGATTCTCAAAAGCATTGTATAATTTTGTGTTCAAAGCAGTATTGTAAAGTGAGGGCTATGATGTTGGGTGTCTGGTTGCATTAAAAAGGGAACTAATTACTCAGATTTTATGCATATGGTGGTGTGTTCTTTATACTATGAGCGTTTTCCTAAAATTAGATTTTAAAAGTGGCAATATAATGTCTTACTTAGAGTTTAACAAGTGCAACCCCTAAATCAAGATGCATATTGCATTGCCAGAATCTTGCCAGAACCCTAACTGGTATCAGCTAAAATAAATCTCCTACGGAGTCTGAACAAACCAGGCACTGGCTCTAGGTAGGGACTTCAGTGGAGTTTCACCATAGTTTCTCCTACATGCTTAGAATTGCGAGTGGAATTTATGTGATTAGATGCCACTAAATCCTGGTCCTTTTAAATTTTACTTATTCATTCAGTAAAATCAATAAAATGCTAAATATTAGCTTGTATCAGTTTTACATTATTAGTCCACTATTCCTAAACCAGCAGGGTGTGGTACAGCAGCTGAGGTGGGAATGGTTTGATGTTGTGGTAAACACTTTTCAGAAATTTTCAGTTTATTTAACCAAATGAGCTGTGTTTATTGGGGGCTGATGTTGTTTGCATACAATTACAGACTGACAGCTCAGCTGATTTCCAAAAGGGCAATGCATTATGGGCTATAATGGCTGCTGTGGTAGAGACCATCCCCCTAATCCCTGTAATTAATATGACCATGCTTCAGCATCCCTACACACACATTGAAACACAACACAGCCCAGCCCTGACCCACTCAACAGTCTATCAGGACTGTTGGGAGGTTTTAATTTGCATAGTTAAGTTCTCTGCAAGAGATCTCTGATAAATTTAAGCAAAATCAGGCCACAATGCTGAGTAAGCCCCCAAAACAAAGATTCCAAATCGCTTCACACGTCTGTACCTGTGCAGCATTTGGTAGGATGCAATAGACTTTAGTGTATATCCAGTAGAGGAATACAGCATTTTTGGATTTATTTTGTCTTCATATTCAGATCTTAAATTTTCTATTAACTCAGTCGACAATTGAAGAAAATCAGTGGTAGGGAGCTGACAAATCAGGAGAAAAGAGGGGACTGCAGCTGCAGCAGTTAATGTGTTTTAACCAAGCAGCAGTAGCTCAGTTGATAAGAAGTCAGCAAGGCAACTAGGCTCCAGATTGCTCCCAGAGCGCCACTACGTAGCTCATCACTCCACCATCTCTGTATGTGTCGTCTTTTGTCTTTTTCAAACCTCCATGGCTAGCAAATGAAACACAGAAGGAAAAAAACTGAAGTTCTCGAACAAACTCTTGGGACTGGCTATGATAGTGAGTGAAAATGCCTAACTACAGCAGAAATAAGTATGTTTATAGCCTGGTACAAAAAACTGTTTAGATTTCTATATCTAAATAATCCATTCATGACATCTCTAAGTGGAATGGATTTTTATATAACTCACTAGTTTAAAGTAAATTAAGGCTAAAAGTTATGCATAATTATGGACATGGCCACTTTACGTGACTGGTGGGTGCTGTCACAGATGGCTGTTTTCTGTAACCAGGCTTCAGTCAGCCTGCCTCAGCTCCACCCACACACCACTTATTCGCTCAGTTGTGTTGCAGTGTTAAGGACAGGAAAAAACATATTTATGTTAATATTATAATTTCACAATAAGCAATATCCTAAACAGTATCTGGTCTGATAATAATTTAATGATGAATAATGAAAATGACTTCCAAACTATCTGTGATGACACGAATCATGCTGGTAGGTAACTCTGCACATGCATCATTCAAACAGCACACTGTAGCAACAAGAAGAAACATTGACTGAAGGGGGACTAGAGATGGTAGCAATGCTTGATCGACTACTAGACTACTACTGTAACTGGACACGTCCCCAATATTACTCAATGAGTTTCAGGTCCTCTCACAGACAGGCGGTGTTGCATTGTTCACCTACAATAAATACAGTCAATCAGTTCCTCCAGAAAGGAACTATTAACACAAATTCGACCGATTCAACCAAAACATCACCAAACTCACTTCCTTGTTACTAGTTGTGAAGATGCGGACCATGCAGACATGTGCAATGTCTCACATCTTTTTGAAAAGGTTACTTGGAACACTCCTAACAGTGCAATTTTATTCTCATTGGAACTAGTTGCCTTTGATTTTTAATCTATTATACAAAATATTTTCACAAAAAATGTCTAAAAACATTGCATCTGTCAGAATTTTTTTTTAAAAAGCTGTCTTGAACATAGGCTGCAATAATCCCCACAATCAAAACGCCCTTGAAATCCTGGAGGAACTGATTATTACAGTATGTAAACAACCAATCTGCAAACTGTCAGGGTGGACATCACAGGTACCAGATCCTGTTTCTGATGTCACACCTGGATATCCTTAGACTGCTGTCTTCTCAAACATAAAAACATACACCTTCGGTGCATTTGTGCGTGTGTCTGCGCCTCAGTGGAATGATGGGTAAATGACAATCATGCACACATCCACAGAGTGATGCTGTGGCCACAGGTGGAGGGGGAACAGAGGGGTAGTGAATTCCCTGGTGATCCTTGTTCATTTCCCTTCTGCACTACACTTCAAATAACACAATGCCACACAGAGACTCTGCTTTGACTAATCACATTCAGGCAGCACTGAGCCTCATAATGTGTATATACACAGTATGTGTGTGCATGCATGTTTTTTGTTCTTTTGTTATACTTACGAGCACCTTGTGTCCTCACATGCATTGTAATATTGACAAAATTCTATATTTTGCTTCACAGTTGGAGACAGTTACACTTATTATTCACGGACACAAAATAGAGTAAGTTAAAATGAATGTATCCAACTAATTGACTGAATAAATAAGAGGCATAACAATGGGGTTTAAATAAATCAAAATGTTAAGAGGTCATGTATAAGATGATATTGACTCTATCATTGTTTCAGGCCCCACCCTGATGATTAAAGCCCAGCCGTCTCCTGTCTTAAACCTGGACACACAGAAGCAAAAGATGAGGATGTTTAGCTTCTCGGAGGCTTGTAGGGGATTAAAAGCTCAAAAAGAGAACTATTTCCTGTGATACCTACTTGTGAGAAAGGCATATATACTGTAAACAAATGGAACTCAACGTAGGGACCCAGGCATGTAAATCCTGACCCAAAAAAAAATCAGTAGGACCTGAAACAAAGATGTGAATTAGGCTTTTTGTAGCTCCAAACAGCATCTTTTCACACATCCTTTGCGTTTTGGATATTCCTTCCTTTTCCTGGTAAAATTAAATGTAATGTTTTTGTCAGTTATGAGACATTGCAGCCAAAGAGTGTTAAAGGAGTTAAATTAAGTCATTGTGCAATCTCATGTTTGGAGCCCTACGTCAAATCTGTTCAGCTTCCAGTGACCAGCACGGTCAGACTGAGGAGGACAGTTTGGCATCTGGGAATACAGTACTGAAGTGTTTTTTTTGCTGGGGTTGGCTCCTGGCACCCCAGAGCTGAGTCAGCTTAAGTTATCAGTGCAGCTAACATTACCGTTACCATTACCGTACTACTTTTAGCTACTTTTAGCAACAAGTCCTCCAGGAAACAAAAATCAGCTCGGCACCACTGTCGTCAAACTGACCTCTGTCAGTCTTTGAGGTTGTGTTCACTGGGTGGCTGCTGAGCCCAGTTACATTGCACGCTAAGCAGCAGTTAGTGGAGTTGAGGCCCGCCAGAGGGTTCATTCCGGCCCGCGGGATGTGTGAAAATTACAGAGAAGACAGAGTATTGAACATAGCACAATGCTTTATTAAACTTTATTCACCGACAACTGTAACTCACACTGTACATTTACTGCTAGACCTGATAACTTACCTCTCTGCT